GTACATGATTTATTAGGTGCATTACGGTAGCTCCCAGGGGCCCCAATCTCACCCCAGGACCTCATTGTGCCGGGCGTGGTACATGATTTATTAGGTGCATTACGGTAGCAGCCAGGGGCCCCAATCTCAGCCCAAGACCCCTTGTGCACCCAGCCTCCCAGGCGCTGCCCCCTTGCAGCCATTGAACAAAATTCAATCGTATTCACTAGGCTCTGGGAGGCCACCTGGCTGAATGGCCAGGGCCCCCTAGCAGGAGCCAGGACTCCTGGGTTCTCCTCCCCACTCTGCCACGGACCTGCTCTCTGAGCTGGGGCAAGTCCCTTTCACATTCGGAGACACGGGGTGGGAGGGGAAACTGAGGCAACGTAGAGCAGGACTTGTTCCTCCCTGTGCAGCACCCAGCCTGACAGAGACCCCAAGCTGGGTAAGTGCTTCTGTGATACTTGGGCAGAGTCTCCCCCTGCAGCTGTTACTGTTCAATCCACCAGGACACACTTTCAAAGAGCCAGGGGAGAAATAACTTCATTTCAACCCTCTCCTGGGTTAGAGGTTCAAACACACTGGGATGTGGATTCTGCATGGAAGACACAGCAAGGGGAATCCCCATTCACGGATAGCAGTATAGGGCATATGAGACACACTAGGCAGGGGGAGAAACACACTGAAAAGAAAGGGAATCTGGGCACAGGCATCTGAATTACAGAACTGACGGCTGCAGAGAGAAGAACTGGGTCCCCGAAGCTGCAAAGAGTCACTCACAGGGTAAATTTACTCCTTCAGAGAGTCCCACAACTTGTGTATGCTGAGCTGGGAGGTCTGGCTACTACCACTGTGAGATGAGGCCAGGGCCAGCAGCTGTTCTGAATGGAGCCAGTTCATTCAGAGAATTCCTCCCACCCCCCCGGCTGCTTCTCCTCACCCATCTCCTGTGGGCCGGGCCCAATCCTCACCCCTGCCCCGAGGGTGGCAGGAGCTCGGGCACCAGGGAGGGATTATAACAGTTTAGCCTCTGCAGTGGCAGCAGGGCGGGGAGGGGGGCAGGAGGATCATGGGAATGGGCCTGAGACCCACAAACTCATTTAATGGAGCTGGAAATTACATCTGGTTCTTTAATGATTAAAGTAAGTCAGAGCCGGCGCTCCCTAGCAGGGAAAGGCCTCATGTCCCAGTCCCCACCCCCGAGCCAGCCAGTTCCCTGCCCCGGGGCCAGAGCAAAGCCAGCGCCCCCTACAGGGGAAAGATGCTGGACCCCCAGCTCTTGCAGTTTATAAAGTCTGAGTATCTCCTCCCCCTTCTGACATTTAATAAGGAGGTAGCTGCTGCTTGTCATGCTGAAGGGGAAAGAAAAGATCCTGCATAAAGGGCTCATTGCCAGTAGGGGGCACCCATCTCAGTGCTGCCTGCTCAGCCCCCGTGCAAGAGGGGACCCCATAGGGGTGGGGTTTTAAGGAGGGATCTCCAGAGGGTCGGGTTCTAGGTGCCACCAGAACAGACAGGTTGCAGGGGGGTCAGGTTCTAGGTACCACCAGAGCAGGCAGGTTCCAGGGGGGTCAGGTTCTAGGTGCCGCTAGAGCAGGCAGGTTCCGGGGGGGTGAGGTTCTAGGTGCCGCCAGAGCAGACAGGTTGGGTTCTAGGCATTGCTCATGAGAGGCCAGGTTCTGAGGGGGGTGAGTTGCAGGTACCATCAGGCAGGACAGATCCCTGAGGGAGGGGTTCTAGGCACCCCCAGGAGGGGAGGGGTTCCCCACAGCAAGGAAGCAGCTGGCAGTGGACAAAGCAGGGCTGGCCAGGGCCAAGTGGGGGGGGCTGCTGAAGTGGGGAGATCCAGGATCAACCAATCCCCCCTCCCCCACACACACACTGGATCAACACAATACCTCCCTCAAGCTGGGTGTGTGCATCCACTGCCCCCCACCGGGGAACTACCAGCCCCCAAAACACCCTAGTGCCCTCAAAGGGGGGGCACTCAGACAACCCCCCCAGGTCCATTCCCCACAGGAGAAGCTCAACCCCCCCCACACCCCAATTCTGCTGCTGGCCAGTGCCCGTCTGGCCCCGAGCGTCCGTGGCAGTCACAGGCCCGTGCCCGGGGCTACGCTGGTGGCGCGGCCGCTCCAGTCCGTGGCGCAGGCAGAGCCGGGCGCAGTCACTACATGTGTCTCTTCATGTGCAGGGCCAGGTGGTCGGAGCGGGAGAAGGCACGCTGGCACAGCCGGCACTGGAACGGGCGCTGCCCCGTGTGCTTGCGGTAGTGGCGCGTCAGCTCATCCGAGCGGGCGAACTTCCAGCCGCAGCCCTCCCAGGTGCAGTGGTACGGCTTCTCGCCTGCCGGGAACAGAGGGAACGTCACCCCAGGCCAGCCCGCCCACCCGAGTCCAGGCAGCCACCTCTGGGGTGGAGCCCGATGGCTGGTTATACAGGGATCCAGCACTGAGATGCAGCCACCTCTGGGGTGGAGCGCAGGGGCTGTTTAGCAGCCGCCCAGTAATCCCATCAAACATTTAGGACAGGAAGTGACGGCCGCTGTACCTACTGTGGGGGAAGTGCAGGGAGGCAGAACGAAAGCCCCAGCCTCGGGGCCTGGTCAGGATGCAGGGACCAGAGCCTCAGGCCTTTTCCACAACCCGAAAGGGACAGGACATTTCCCATCTCAGAGAGCCAGCACCTCCTGCATCGGGAGGCCCCCTCCCCACACATCCCACAGCCCGGCACCCCCCACAATACAGTGTCCCCCCCAGAGACCTCCCCACAGCCCCCCTCCTGAGCCCCCCTGCTCCAAGCAGCCCCCTCCAAGTCCTCCCCACAGCAGCCTCAAACCTCTACACACCCCACAGCGTCCCCTGAGTCCCCCACCCTGCAACACCCCCCTCCAAGCCCCTGCCCCATGCCACCCCCTAAGATCAGCCCCCCCAGTGCCGCACTGGAGCCAGCGCAGGCTGAGCAGTCAGAGCCCCCCCTCCCACACACACACCTGTGTGGGTGCGGAGATGGGCCTTGAGGTGAGAGCTCTTGGTGTAGGTCTTGCCACAGCTGGGGTGGCTGCAGGGGTGGCTGGTGGGGCGCTTGTGGGCCCAGCCCTTGCGGCTCCGCTTGGGCTTGGCTGGGAGCTCCCCGGGCGGCGGGACGGGCGGCGCCAGGAGGCCGAGGTAGCCCGCAGGCGCCGGGGAGGGCAGAGCTGGGCTGCCCCGGTACAGCTGGAACCGGGCTTGGTACTGGCTGTGACAGAAGGCCTGGTAGCCGCCCCCCAGGCCGTAGGGGGGCGGCTGAGGAAGCTGGCAGTAGGGGGCACCCCGGGCCAGCAGGGTGGGGGCCAGCGGGGCATAGCCCCCGTACGTCAGCTGGTAGCCATGCCGCAGGGCCACGGGCCGGGGCTCCCCGTACCCGCCGGGGGGCTGGGCCTCACAGTCCGGCCTGGAGGGATACGCCGGCAGATGCCCCCCAAAGGTGCCCGCTCCCCCCTTTCCCAGGGGCTCATCCCCCGACAGCAGCTCAGCTACCAGGCTGGTGGGGCCCGGGAGCCCAGCCCCCGACGTGTACCCGCCCGGGCTCTGCCCCTTGTAGGCCTCCGGCTGGCACAGCCCGGGCCCCGCCTCGAACCCCCCGCCTGGGCTGGGGCCACCCGCCTCCGTGCTGGGGAAATTGCTGAGCAGGAAGTCCAGGTCCCAGGAGGAGTCCTCCGCCTCTTGCTTGAGCTGCAGGGAGCTGTGGGGCTGGGGCAGGTCCGTGGGGCCGGGCGCTGGGGGGTCCAGGGCGTCTTCCACCTTCCACCACTAGAAAGGAAACCAACAGGCTCCATCAGGCCAGAGGAGACATTGGGAGAAGGGACTAGTGGTTAGAGCCAGGACTCCTGGGTTCCAGCCCTCGCTCTGGGAGGGGAGCGGGGGCTAGTGGTTAGAGCAGGGGGCTGGGAGCCAGGACTCCTGGGTTCTAACCTCAGCTCACACACACACACTAAGCACGTCTTGCCCCTTTTCCAGCTAGGTTTTGTTCTACTGAGCGAAATTCCAGAGACCAACTGGCCACAAACCTCCACCGAGCCCAGCCCCCCCCTCGCCCTGCAGGGCTCATGGGACCGGCTCCAACACTGTGCCGTGCTGGGACCCAGAGATAAGAGAACCGGTTATCAGGACCCCGCAGCAGCTCCTGGCGGAGCAGGGGGACGGGGCCGTGCCAGCTGCCCAGAGGGGAGAGCGCCCCGGGATGGGGCTCGCAGGCAGGATGTTAAAGGAGAGGTGGGGCCCCCCCTCCGGGGACAGACATTCATCGCGCAAGTGAAGTGAGTTTGGCTGCTCTCAGCCCAGCCCCTCTCCGGGCTCAATAAAACCCCCAGATCAGAGGCTCAGCTGACGCTCAGTAATTCAATAGGGCTGGGGTAGCAGGGGGATGCAGGTCGGGAGTGAGGGGCACCGGCAGAGCTGGGGGAGGGGGGCCCAGGGCTGGGCTAGCAGGGGCTGCAGGTCGGGACTGAGGGGCACCGGCAGAGCTGTTGGGAGAGCCCCGGGCTGGGATAGTGGGGGACACTGCAGGGATGGAGGGGCACCATTCACTGGAAGCTCCTGTAAGGTGAACTCTGGGATTCCACCCCCCAAACTAGGAATGGAACCCAGGCGTCCTGCTCCACAGCCCCATGCGCGGTGGCTTAGCAGGACCCACCCACCCAGTGAAACCTCCCCCTAGGGAAGGGGCTCCCCACCTCCTCCTCCAGCGACCAGGTGCCTCCTGCCTGCGGTCGGTCTTACGCCAGGGCCTTCGGGTGCTCGGAGCAGGACTTGCGTTGCCCGTGCAGTTCAGCAGAGCTGCGGTGGGGTTGGACGGGGTGGGGGCAAGGAACAGTCCTCTTCCCCCCCCCATCACTTCCCTGCCTAGACCAACAGAGCTCCCAAACCTTCCTGCCCCCCAAAAACACAGAGCCTAGAAATGCAGCCACCTCTGGGGAGCAGCACAGCTGCAGCTTCACACCAGAGAGGAGGGACACCCCCCCACACACACACACCCTGCTGCGGGCAGCCCGGGCACCCACCCAGCCAGTAAAGCGGCGACAAGTTCCACCCCTTGGAGCAAATCCATCGAGGGCCGGAGCTGGCCGAGCCGGGGAGGTCAGGGGCAGCTCCTACCCCCCACACCGCCCCAGCCCCCCCTTACCTTGAGGATCTCCGACTGCTTCTCCTGGAAGTGGCAGAAGCCGGCCAGGCTGCTGATGGAGGGCAAGACGGCGTCGGCAAAGGCCATGGCCAGCCGGGCCCCAGCTCAGAGCCAGGCTGGGGGGGGAATCAGAGCCCAAGGGCTGGTGGGGGGAAACCAACCCCTCCAACTCCCTGCCCCCCTCACGTGCTCCTCTCACCTCCGCCCCCCCCAGCTACTGGCTGCCTCGAGCCACCCTCTGAGCAGAGCTTTTTCCCCCCCCTTCAAACGCTACATTTCCCTCTTTCCCGCCCCCCTCTCATTGGCTAGCCAAGGTGATAAGGGGAACCTCTAGGCCAATCAGAAGGAGGGGTGTGGCCCATCGGGGGGGGGGGGCTAGCTGGGGACTTGGTTAATTTCACTCGAAGTGTGTGTGTGTGGGGGGGTCCTAGGTAGCTCAGGGCTGGGAAATTATCTCACGCCCCCACCCCTCCCGGGGCTCTCAAAGCGGCTGCAGATTCTGCCCCCCTCAGGGGCTGATTTATAAAGGGGCAGAGCCCCCCCCCACCCCCATTGGCAGCAACCCAGGGCTCGGCACCTGCTAGACTCAGCCCCCAGGTGCCTCTCATGAGGCCCATCAGTAGCCGGGGCGGCTGCCCATTGAGGGATGATTGATGCCACTTGGTAGCCCCCTCCCGCTGGGGGGCAGCTGGATGCTGTCAGAGAGTCAGGACACCCACCAGCCCTGGGAGGGGAGTGGGGTCTAGTGGTTAGAGCAGGGGGCTGGAAGCCAGGACTCCTGGGTTCTGTCCCAGCTCTGGGAGGGGAGTGGGGTCTAGTGGTTAGAGCAGGGGGCTGGGAGTCAGAGTTCGTACATACTATTCCCACCACTCACCTGCTGGGTGACTTGGGCCAAATCACGCACACACGCCCCGCCTTTGTGCCTCAGTTTCACCCCCTGTGAAATGGGGGTACTGCTACAGGCGCAGCGACCAGAGCAGCGTAGAAGGTTCGTGGTTGACTGGTCGGAGGCGAGCAGCCTCCCCCACCACAGCACCTGGCCGGGGCCTCCAGGTGGGAAGGAGGGTTTATGAATCACAGGAGGTCGGGGGATGGAAGGTGCCACCTAAATACAAATCATTGTCATGCCCCCAGACAGGTTCTAGTGGGTGAAACAAGGCCCAGAACAGGTCACACAGTAGAGCCGGGGAGAGAAACCAAGCGTCCTGGCTCCCAGCCTCCCCGCTCTAACCACTAGACCCCACTCCCCTCCCGGAGTTGGGGAGAGAACCCAGGAGTCCTGGCTCCCAGCCCCCCCGCTCTAACCACTAGACCCC